TTCTCTCTTAATACACACACGCATAAACAAATCACACACATTCTTATCCACACATATCTCATCAACTAGTCAACCATAGGCCCCACAACATAACAAAATGTAATAATGTCCCACAAATAAAAATAATGCTTACAAGCATAATATAAACCCTACAATTTCATGATTAAGGGTAATGCAATTTAAAATAAATATAAAAGAAAAAAATACTTGGTCCTCACAGAACCGGTTCCAAAAGTGGTTACCGGTTTATGAGTTTTCTACAGATTTGGTAATTAGTTTCATGTTTTGTTTAAACTTTTTATTTGGTATAGATTTCTTTCCAAAAGACCTATGCATGAAATTTACTTTTTTTCTATACATATCTAGGTTTTTGAAAATCTGTATAAACCTTGTTTTATATTTAGGTTGATTCGGCTTTTACATTACTTCTTCTTATTTTGGTTAGATGAAAATAAACAAGAAAATGAAAGGAATAAAAAATGAAAGAAAAGTGAAGTGAATGGAAAAAAAGTTATTTTCTAGCATATATTTGGTTAGTATGAAATTTTATTTAAGAAAATTGTAGGAAAATATTAATTTATTATTCTGGATAGTATGAAAATGAAAAGAAAATGATTGACCATGCCAAAATTTTATGATTTCAAATACTACAATATAAATTTAAAAGGAAAAAAAATACTATGGAGTACAATATAAATGAATTTCTTTTTGATGATATCTATTTTTAGCAAAGAAATAGTATAATGACAAATTATTAAATTTAATAATATAATTATTTATATCTAAAATAAGACTTCATAATATTTAGGTAGAAGTAAAATTAATTATTAATTTACGATAAACGAATTTTTTTAAAAAAAAATAAAAACAAAAGATGAAGAAATTGGGATTCAGCTCCTCTCTCCTCTTAAGTATCTTCTATGTGCATTTAAGAGCATAAATCAACGGATTATAAATTGTCATGTCATCTATTAATTCAAACATTTAAAATTTCTTAAACGAAACAAATAGGAGGTGTAAAGACATTTTAGTGAAAAAATTTAGGGAAAAACAGACAAGTATGGAAAACAAAAATTTTCATTACATTTCTTTTTCCATCTAACCAAATGGAACAACGAGAAAAGCCCATTCCTCAGAGTCCTCTAAATATATTTTTTTTCTCGATAAAATTATTTTAGGAAACTAAAATAGCATGGACAGAACCACAACTGTGGGGGTGATAAATGTATTTTATTTTTAATATGAAATGACACAATTGCCCTTGGTTTAATTCATGAGACTTAAGCATGAGTGGCATTTACTTCATTTATAAGAAAAAGTAGTGCATTTATATTATCTTTGTAAAAAAAAATAATAATAAAGAAGAAGTTTTGGAAGCAAAACTTTATGAATTTATTTAGTTGAATTATTTAAAAATTATTCTCAGATATTTACAAAAGAGAGTTCTACAATATCAAGTCTTCTTTCAATTCAATTATTTAAAATTAATCGAAATGAAATAATTATTTATAGGACTCACCTAATCCAAGGAAATATTATTTAATAACCAAAATGAATGAATTATCCAAGTGATAACAAAATTAAAATTTATATTCCTATAAATGAGTTTTGACAAGGAACATTTTTATCGTAATATTTTGAAAAGGACACGATTGAATGCAAGAATGTGCATCCTCCATACATATATGATTCAATAACATTGGATACAATTAAATAAAGAGTTAAAATCATAAAACTCTCGCTACTTTTAAATTTTGATCAAAAAATTTTAACCTGTTGTAGAAAAATTTCACACTTTTAAAAAGTGATCACATTGCCTCAATATTCGTATCCGACCCGATAACTGGCCTATGAAATGACACATTTAACATTATTATTTAATGTTAAATTAAAAACTAAGAATTAATTTTTAAAAATTACAAAAATACCCTTTAAAATTACAAAAAATATATTTTAAAGAGAAAGGGTTGAGAGTTTTAAAGAGAGAGTGCATAAATTTTGTATTTTTTTTTTTTTAAATTAGTTTTTAATTTAACATTAAATTGTAAAGTTAAATTTGTCATTTCATAACCCAATTAACGGGTCGATCACGGATATTAGGATAATGTGATTACTTTTTAAAAGTGTTGAAATTTTCTGAAACAAATTGGAGTTTTATGATTAAAATTTAAAAATAGTTAGAATTTTATGATTTTAGCCCTTAAATAAATAATGAAACAACACACCATATTACAATATTAAATAAAAAATACAACCACCAATATAAAAATATTACATTCTTAATTTATGTAATATGTTAAATGAATGTGATATCTTCAAGGCAAAAGTGCAAAAAAACCCCGGAACTATCCAATTTTTGGCAAATACCCCCCTTAACTACTAAAGTGTGCAAATACTCCCCTGGAAGTCACCGGATCAGCTTTCCAGGCGTGTGTAATGCCACGCGCCTGTTTAAAGTATTATAATACCGAAAATGCCATTTTTTGTGACCATTATAGCCTTGTGGCCTATATAGCCCCATTGTATGTCATTTTGCCAAATTGTGTACTCATTCTCTCTTTGCAACGAACTGGAAGGGGTTTTAGACAAAGGTGAGTTTTCTTATGCAATTAAATTTATTTATAATACATATATATTAGATTTGAATATATATATATATATATATATATATATGTTTAGTAGTTAATAGTAATTTTTTTTTTAATTATTTACGTGCTTGCAATATATATTGTAGTACTGATATGGAGCCATCAAGTAATATATTGTATTACTATTGTGGAGTAAAATCTCTTTTGAGAAGAGCCACTACACAAAAAAATCTAGGTCGGAGGTTCTATGGATGTGGAAGGTATCCCATGATGTCTTGTGGGTTCCATAAATGGGTGGATCCTGAGAATTGGAACCATATGAAAAGAGAACTGGTTATGAGAACCATATCATCTTTGAGAGGCCAAATTACTATGAGAACTGGTTATGAGAACCATTTGAAAGATGAAACACTACCCATTGATGGGAGAATGAACTTTGTGGGTGCACCACCTGTGCAAAGCAATATTGGGAATCATGTAATCACAAATTTGGTTATTTTCATGTTAGGATTTATAGCATGTGCTATTGTAATGGTTATTGTGTGGTTATTTAGTAGAATATAATTGTAATGGACTTTATAATTAACTAATGTATTATTTTTTTTATATAATATACTGTGTTGTACCAACATTCCAGTTGCACCAACATAGCAAAATAGGTGATGACAATACAAAAAAATTATAATCTGGGGTAATCTTTGCAGCACCAACATACCAGTTGCACCAACATAGCAAAAAACATACAAAAATAAATTCTGTGCAGAGCATAGCAAAATACATAACCATAACCATACAAAAACAAAATCTATACACCACCAATATACAAAAAAACATAGCCATAACCATAACTATAACCATAACCATATAAATTATAGTAGTATCAGCCATAACCATACAAAATCTTAAGTTCTGCATCAACATTCCCAAAAATCAAAACTACAATATGTGCACCAACATTCTAAATAACCAAACAACATATGTGCACCAACATTTCAAAAAACCAAACATCTGTGCACCACCAACATACCCAAAAAATGTAAACCATATATGTGCACCAACAAACCAAAAAAATCTAAACCATATTTGTGTACCATCAACATACCAAAAGATGAAAACCAATATCTGTGCACCAAAACTTACAAAAAGCTGCACCATGAACTCCAAAAAGCAGAAAACCACCAAATTTCCTTAAACTCCTGCGTCAATTGCAGTAGGCCTGTGAAAAAAAAAAAAAAAAAAAAAAAAATAGAAGTAAAATCATCAAAGACATTTATAAACTGTTCTTGATTGCTCCAGAATTTTTTTTAAAAAAAACTCTCACATACCTAAATGATGATGATGCTTAACTACTCCACAAGACATTGAAATCAATTAACGATGATGGTTGAGACAAATTATTCAACAAATTCCCATATCTTGATTGTATTGTCATCACCTATGAAACAAAATGATAAAATATTAAAAATAGTAATATGATAGTAAACATTCAAATTAATTGATTATGATGGTTTAAAACAATAACCTCTTGCATTTGTTCTTGCAACCCCTCTTCCCCTTCTAATGCCTTTTCCCATACCACTTGTAGTCCCTCCACTTGCAGTGCCAACCTCTCCCATACCACTAGCAGTTCCTCCATTTGTAGTGCTAACCTCTCCAATACCATTTGCAGCCCCTCTTCCCCTTCCAATGTCTCTTCCCATACCACTTACAGTCCCTCCACTTGTAGTGCCAACCTCTCCCATACCACCTGCAGCCCCTCTTCCTCTTCTAATGCCTCTTCCTCTTACAGTTTTTCTTGCAGGTGCAATACCTCTTGCCATTATTGATGCAAGTTCATCAGTGTCTGGTAGTCCACCAGGTAGCCAGAAGTAACTGGCAGTCTAGGTCTACCTTGTGTACCTTTTTTTGGCAGCTTGAGGTGTTACTTCAGTAGCTTTGCAAGTTCTGACATTATGTCCTTTTGCCCCACACTTTCTGCAATTGAATAATTGCTTTTTTCTGCTAACTGCACCACTTTTGTTGTTCACTTCACCAACAGCCTTTTTTCTTGCATTTTTAGGTCTGCCAGATGAGGGTTTAACTATTGGTGGGTGTATGGGATCAGTGGCAACTTCATGTGTCATTTGCCTAAGAGGCATAGGGAAAATAATAGGTGTATATGTCCTCAAGTATGTCTCCCTATGATAACAACTATCAACAAAGTCTTCAGGGTTACCCCTTTGGTCAATTATACATGTAATGGCATGCATACATGGTATACCCCTTACATCCCATTCTCTACAACTACATGTTCTGTTTGCCTTTATAGCAAACTTCATATATATCATCACATGCTTTCTTTATAGCGCAATGCCTTGAATCATCTATTAGCTTAGTCAATTTGTCAGCAATTGTAGGGCACAACAACTCCTTCTAGGTTTGAATCCATTCCCTTTTCGATTGAAACCGATACATCAAGTACCCTCTAATCCACTCCAACATAGTAATTAATGGTTTATCCCTAGCATCGCCAATGTTGTCATTCCAAGTCTCACAAAGGTTGTTAACAAGCAAATCACATCTTGAATTATCATTAAACCTAGACCTTGACCATAACCTAGCTGGCACCTTTGACAGCCACTCATGGGCTTCTTTATCAATCTGACTTATAAGATACATGTGATGCTTAAATGTATCTTCAGTCAAAGCAAGTACTGCATTCCACATCTCATCCCTCAACTTCGCACCCTTAAACTTCTTCTTAAAATTCTCATGCATATGCTTCACACAAAATCTGTGGTAAGTGTCATGTAACTTGTCTTCAAAGATTTCAACTAAACCCTGTTAACCAACAATAAAGAAAATATTAATATAAAAAGTTCATAAATGTAAAATAAATGACATAAAATAAATCATTTAAACATTTTTACCTTTTGTCTGTCCGACATAAATGTAAATCTGTTTAGAGGACCCAAAGCACTTTCTAGTTTGTTTAAAAACCATTCCCATGATTGTTTTGTTTCAGACTTAACCACACTTATGGCTATAGGAAATATTCCATTATCTCCATCCTTGCCAATTGCACTTAACAACTGCCATTTGTAAGGACCCTTCAAGAAGCAACCATCCAATCCAATGAATGGCCTATATCCTTCTAAGAATCCTCTCTTCATTGCTTCAAAGCAAACAAATAGCCCTTCAAATCTGGTAGGGTTATCAAGTGTTAGTCTATCAACAGTAGTCACTGTAATACTACCAGGATTGGTGGTCTGAATGAGCTGGCAGTAATCTCTAGCCCTTGAGAATTGCAGTCCGTAGTCACCATCAATGTGTAATCTAGCCTTCTTTTTTGCCCTATAAACCTTGTATTTGGTAACATTAACATCCAAATCTCTTAAAATTGCCTTCTTCATTGCAGATGGTTTCCATGTGGGTTCATCCCTAATTGTATCCATGTATTCGGCTGCCAAAAAACTGGCTGATGCTTGACTATTAAGCTTGTTGTAACTACAAGTATGTTTTAAGTTAAAAGCCTTTATTTGGAAGCTGCCATCCTCTGAGTTAAATGATGCATGAATTCTCCACCCACAATTTTTTGAACATGTAGCAATAACTCTATTCCCTTCATTTTTCACAAACCTAATTTCATACTTTCTTTTAATAGCATCATCCCTTAAGGCCACTTTAAATGCTTCAGGTGAAGAAAATTTGTTGTCAAGTTCTATGACATTATTCCTAAATTTATGCCTTCTTGGAACCATATCCACTTCACTGTCACTGCTATCTTCTTCAGAGGATGATCTGCATAAGTTTTCCAACTCACTTGGTGAATATATGGATTCAATATCTGAGTATTGACCCATTGCACCATTCACATCTTCATCCACATGAGTATTCATATCTTCATCCACATCACCATTCACATCTTCATTTACATCAACATTCACAGCTTCATTTACATCAACATTCACATCTCCATCTACACCAACATTCACATCTTCAACCACATCAGCATTCACATCTTCAACCATATCAGCATCCACATCGACCACATCAGCATCCACATCTACAACCACATTAGCATCCACAGTAGCATATTCATGCTCTAATTCATCATTCAGCTCATTTTCAGTCTGAGTTGCCCATTCTAGTATTTCATCATCCCAATTAAAATTATCATCATGCATGTCAACTTCAGGTTCAATTTACAATAGAAGGTAACTGACCTATTAATGAAGTTTGTGGAAAAAGTGGCATGGGTATTATAGGAAACTAAGATGTGAAGGCACCACTTTTACGGGAAAGTAAAATTTCCCTGTGTTTTTTGTGAGAAACATTTTGAGGAAAATTAAGCGGTTGCGAGAATTTACTTTCCTAAAAATTTTCTCTTTATTGGAAATTACCTCCAAAATGTACTTCCAGTGTAATCAACCTGGTAGTATTCGTTATCTGTTCAATCAAGCAAACCAAAACACATAAGTCATGGTGAATAAAAAATTCAACAAATAATAATCCCTAACCAATAAAGTAACAATATGCATAAACCCTAATCACAAAAAATAGAAAATTAATCAAATGAGAATCCCTAAGCACAAAAAAAAAAAAAAAAAAATTTAAGCAAATAAAAATACCCAAGCAATAAAAAAAACAATTTACACAAACTCTAAGCACAAAAAAAAAAAGAATAATAATAATAATTAAATGACAATCCCTAAGCACAAAAAATAAAAAATTAAGCAAATAACAATATCTAAGCAATAAAATAACAATTTGTACAAACCCCAAGCACAAAAAATGAAATAATAATTAAATGAAAATCACTAAGCACAGGAAATAAAAAATTAAGCAAATAACAATCCCTAAGCAATAAAATAACAATATACATAAACCCTAAGTACAAAAAATAAAAAAATAATCAGAAGACAATCCCTAAGCACAAAAAATAAAAAATTAAGCAAATAACAATACCTATACCTAAGCAATAAAATAACAAAATGCATAAACCCTAATGGAGTAATGGAGCATTTTTTTTTTTCACTGTTATTAAATATGCAGTAATGGAGCATATGAAGATAAATACAGTAATGATCACATGGAAATAAACTGACATCAAACACAAGACATAGACCACAAGACATCAAACATTTCCCACAAGACATCAGTCTAAAAATGATGTAGGAAACAAACTGACATCAAACACAAGACATGGACCATTGTGTATCACTATACGAAGACATAAAAGTAAAAAAATAAAAAATAAAAAGGACATGGACCACTGTCATTGACTATAAACTCTATTGTCAGTGGGGTCTGTCTTCTTTAATCAACATAAAGCTTACACCAAACATTTCTCAAGTTCTAAAAAATTGCATGCATGTGTATTATATATACAAAAAAGAGAATTTTATACTAGGTCAAAATAGATTTTCAAAAACCCTAGAAATCAAATATTCGATTAGTACTAATTAACCCAAAAATTTAACCATTAACATATAAAATGAAAAATAAGATTCATTTAAAATCGACATAAAGACATAAAACATAATCTAAACTTACAAATTTGGAGAACTTGTAAAATCGAATCAAAATTTGTGAAAACGACAGAACAGGAAATACCACACGATGAAACGCACAATTGAAGAGAACAACAACACGATGTCGCGCACAATTGAACAGAACAAGAATACGATCAAAGTCTTCCACCCACAGTATGAAACCCTGAGTTCGTATCTGCGCCTCCATCGCTCTCTAACTCTCTGTGTGTGTCTCTCTCTAATATAATCAACTAAATGAGATTTTAGGGCAACTTAATTTAGTAAGGTAAAATTGACATTTCACAATTAGTTTTTTTTTTATATTTTTTTTATATAATTTAATAAGTAAGGTCATTTCAGTCATTTCAAATCAACAATTGCCGAAAAGCTGATTTAGTGACTTCCAGGGAGTATTTGCACACTTTGTCTAGTAGTTAAGAAGGGTATTTGTCAAAAATTGGATAATTCATAGAGGAGTTATTTATTTTTATTTATTTATTTTTTTTTTTTGCCCCTATCTTCAAAGTAAATTATTGCATGAATAGATATATATATATATATATATATATATATATATAATTATTACATCCTGATGATAAAGTGTAACTCTTGCTACTTTCACCACATAAAAAGAGGTACTTTTGAAGAATAGTGACTTTTACAAATTAAATAGATTTTTAAAACCATCACCGTTTTTTATTGGGACGATGGTAGTACGACAACATAAGCATGAAATATCTTATAATAGGGGCATAGTGGGTAGTACAAATAAACTAGGATGACAAATATAATTGTATTTATTGTAAAACCTGCAAAAGTCTAAAAATCTCATACCAGCTTTTGTGGCAGTGAGTGAGTGAGTCCAAAACCAGTAGGCCAAGAAAGAGGGAGCGAACGACGTCGTATTATTTCTATGTCCACATCACTTCTACTTTATTACTATCACATATGAACCTCACATTCACTCACAATCTCTCCTGTCCATATCTCTCTACTTAACCCCCTCATGCTCTCGACACGTGTCCCTCGAGATTGCTAAAAATCACAAATTTAAAAATTAACCCAAAAATATATAAAATAATATAAAAATAAAATTATCCCACTACAGAGAAAAACAAAAGCCCTCTCTCTCTATCTCCGTATGTCTCCTCTTTTATCTCTAGAGTACTGTCTCTCTCTCTCTAAAAAAATCATTTGCAGAAACCGCAATCCTCACTGGCTTTCTCCTTTCTCTCGCTAACTCACCATGTTTGAAGACTCTGTATCCTCCTCAGTGCCTTCGATCTGGGCCTCCATGAACAGCTGGTTCACTCCAGCTGTTCTCTTCGTCCTTCTCAACGTCATGATCGGCACCATTTTCGTCACCTCTAGCCTAGCAAACCAGAGACAACAACCACAAACCCAAGAAGACCCACATCAACAACAACAACAACCCAGACTCGCTAGATCACCTTCTGTTCTTCAACGTCTCAAGTCCATCGACTTCTCCATCTACAGATCCAAAGAACCCAACCCAGCACCACCCTCCATCGTCACCCACTTCAATCTCACGCCAGATTCGGACACCCATTACCCTCCTCAACATATCCATCAACAACAAAACCTAGAAACACTGACCCAGTTCGTTTCTCAACACACCCATCAACAACAAACCCAAGAAACAGAGACCCAATACGTTCCAGAACAAGTCATTGATGAAATTGGGGACAATCGAAGGACAATCGATGAAATTTACAGTGAGCTCACGGATGACCATCGCGTTATCAGGACGATGTCTGACACCATGCCGGCGTCGGGTGAGGTTCCGGCGAAGCTGCCGGCGAAGATGAGGAAGTCGGCGAGTCTGAAGTCGGCTTTTGGACATTTTGAAGAAGAGGACATTGTTGAGGCTCGTCGGCCGGCGACTGTGAGAGAGGGGAAGGCTAAAGTGACGGAGGGCGACGAACAGGTTGATGCCAAGGCCGATGATTTCATAAACAGGTTTAGGCAACAGTTGAAATTGCAGAGGCTTGATTCCTTCATAAGGTACAAGGACATGATCGGCAGAGGGAGTGGGAAGTAAGGTATTTTGATTTCCTGGGGCTGTTTTTAAATTTATTGTTAATTTTGGGGTGTTTTCTGAGATCCACAACTGCTCCTGTTGTTTAATTTTGTGGTCAGATTTGCCCTTGATATTTCTACTTCTGTATTATGGGAATGGGTATTTTGGTCAATTTGCTTCTAGATCTCTGGATGAAGTCGGATGGAGGGAGGTAGTGGCAGAAAAGATGTTATGATCTGTTTGGTGGGGAGGCAACTTTTCAATTTTTACTAATTTTGGGTGGAAATTTATCAACTGTGTAATGTAGATCCAATGCTCATGATGAACTTTCTGTTCAAAGATACCCTTTTCCTAATCTCATTTTGGGTGGAAATTTATCAACTGTGTAATGTATTCTTGCTTTTCCATTATGGTAAGGGGCATTTTGGTAATTTCTCTCATAAATGTGTGCTATTTTGGGGGCTTATTAGAGTTTCTTACCTGCAGCAAGGGTGGGCAATTTAGTCCATTTAGGTTGGAATCATGATATATATATATATACACACACATATATTGGGTTATCCGTATATGTTGGTGACTATGCAGCTGATGCGTGGTTTGGTGGTGCACATGGAAATATTTTGCATTAATGCTACCAATTTAATGTGTGGCATATTGATTGTGATGTGGAGTAATTTTGGTCAGTGACACAGGTGGACCCTAGCAGGTCACTTGTGCTATCATTGAGCTTAATTTATGTTAATTTAATGCGTCTATTCTCTATCTGTTTTTGTTTATTTTTTTTTTTTTACTTTTTTATGATTATGCTTGTTGGTGGGACCATCTAAATGGTGACAGCTGATTTTTACTTAAAACTCTTCTTTCCCTTGGTTTAGATTGCATTATGTTTTGAGGTCAAAATCACAAGCACCGTGTGTCATCAACAAATCATCCAAATGTAGGTCTTTTTAGGGGTTTTTGATAGCAACTGGTTGGTCATTATACTTAGGCTAGAAATGACCCATTGCCTGACATAGTAATTTATTAAAAAATAAGATTTACTAAAATAATATATTTTTACATATATACAATTGGTTGATGAGATAAATAAAGTAATATTAAAAGTGCAATAAAGGATTTTTCAGGGACTGATCTAATAATATAGGACTATTATAATCATGAAAATGTTTTAATCAATTTTGTTATTTCATTTTAATTTTCTAATTAATTTTTTTTGACTAAGAGTTTCAAAGTCGGTCATATGTGAACGAGAATAACGTTGTTAGGGAATAACATAATCATAACAATGTTAGGTGGTATGAATTTTATTCTCGAACTAAATTCATTTAACTACATATCATTTTTCACTTTTATTAACTCGAGAGCACATTCACCCATTCAATTACATTTATGTGAATGAGAATAACGTTGTTAGGGAATAACATTGTCATAACAACGTTAGGTAATATGAATTGCATTCTCGAATTACATATCATTTTTCACTTTTATTAGCTCGAGGATAATGACGGTAGATGAACTTTTTGTTTAAAAATGTTGGTTAGTAACTAATCTTAATTAAATGTGTTGCTGTTTGGTTTGAATTGACCTCCACCGTGAATGAATTATTGACCTCTTTGAAACGTAAATGGGTTTTATATGACATTAGAAGGTTTGATTTTATCCGTGTGCTCTCGAGAATGTCCTAAAACAAGGATAAGTTGGGACAATTCTGAGTGGGACGTGACGTAATGAATAAGTTATTCATATTCTTGACGTATAAATATTTTTAATGTTTTGGTTATTTTGATAAGATGGTATCATAAATTAACTGAATGTTGAAACTTTGTGATATGATTTATTAAGATCTTGTTTGCTAATTGTTTTTGTTTATTATCATTTAAGTTTAAACATGATAAACATGATAGAGTGTTTATGTGTAATTTTTGTTTATTGATGAACACGTATATTGTCTGATTTTGTCTTGTTTTAAAAACAATAATTAGAAAAAAAATGTTTGTTAACCTTAAACTGTTTTTAAAAAAATCAACACCAATTTTAAACAAATTATAAAAGTATTTATGAAGTGTCCAATTATTTTTTAGCAAAGTTGCTCACAACCTTAGCAAATGGGGTGCTCGTCAAAAAATTATTGATCTTAAGTGGAATGTGGCTTTCTTAGTTATTTAAAGTCATTGAAAATTATGTTTGTTTTGTTTAATTATGAACCCTCGGTTTTGTTCATGTTAAAAATAAATAAAATATTCATAAACATATACACATGATCATAAAAGTCGTTTTTAAGTTATAAAATTAGCATGTGTGAATAATAATTATATAAATAAATTTATATAATCGATAAATATAAATAATATTAACAAACATATTTTTTTTCAAAATTTATTTATATAAATAATAAATTATAAACATAAAAAATTATCAAATGAGATTAAATAAATATATTTTTCAAACATGATATAATTAATTAATAAAATTGATAACATGATATCTCGGACACGAAAAAGTCTTCTTTCTCATGCACGTATTTATTGAGAAATGATATCACGGTTACAAAAAAAGGTCTTTCTCGAACATGCGTCCAAAGATTGTTTGCAAGGCAATTGAAAAACGAGCCACCATAAAGTGGAAAGCAAGAGAGTCAAGAACATAATTAAGCTTTTCCAAAATAACAGAAGTACCCATAGTGGAATGTTGGAGCACTAGTGTCATTTCAAATGATAGAAGAAAGGGGGAGTTTCTCACAATCGCAGTGTTAATATTGCCTCCATGTTAATAGTGTCATTTCAAATATAGTTTTGTAATTATTATTATTTTTAAAAAAAATTGTGATTCCATTGCAATTTTAAAATATATTATAGTTTAATTATAAATGTATGATTAAATTTTAGAAAAAAAAACAACAAACATATAACTTTAAGTTCTAAATTAATGATTTCATTCATATCAAAAATTATTAATTTTATATAAATTAATGCATATAATTGTTATTATTTTATATTTCTCTGCCTTACAAGTGACTTGTATTTTAAAGAGTTTCTATCTTCATATTTGGATCCTACTCGTGTCCTTATCTTTGCTATTTAGTTGGTACCATATGTTTTTTTATAACAAAGTAACGGGAATATATATAGCTATAATCTTCGCCATCCTAGAAGATATTTCCTAAGTAACTAGGGCTAGATTTTTGGTGTTATGTGGTATATATATGTTTGGCTATATTTAGGTTGAAGGGGTTGCTGTTTGCACTTCGATGGGCAGAGTGGACTTAGGTAGCGAGAGCATTACGAATTTGAGTGAAAAAAAATGTTACAAAAGGCTCCTTAAATTTGAATTTGTCATCCAACACAAATGCTCTTGAATTTACGTTCTCACGCTTCAACTTAATTATTTTACTGTTACACCAATCAGTAGCTTCTAAAATGTTAGGCCACAAAGATAGATTTATGAGGGAATTTTACTATAATGATAAAGACACAGTATGTACACAAACTTAACTTTTGAAAGAAAAAAAAAAAAAAAAAAATGTACACACACTCTTGCTCCTAGGGTAGAGACAACAAAATTATATCTAAGTAGAGCTAGAAAACACCGAATTTTAGTGAGGACCCAAATGAAAAAACCTCCAGGATTTTCATGTTGTTCCAAACGAAACGATCCACTATGTATAAAACAAATTACAATGGACTTCGACTCAGACTCACACCCTTTCATTATACCAAGACCTAATTTGCTGAATGCATCTAGCTTTGCGACTCCCCCGTTTTATAACTCTCGACTTCAGACTTATTCCCTTGACTCTTGTAAAAGGATTGTTGGTAGATCAACAAAACTCTACGAATACTTTGACTCATTCAAACTGTGATTGTCTTTGAATTATGATTTCGATGTAAAAGGATAAAAATTTGCTTTCTCTGAATGGTATTGTTTAATTCTTCAACAGCTCGACCTCTGATCAGAATACAAACAACACCCTAAGTCACTCGTGTGTATAATGTGTATGCTCTCAAAGAAAGATAAAAATCAGAAAATTCTCACTAATTTTAACTCTCAAAGTATGCTAAAAATTGTATGCAAAAGTTGTGAAAAAAAAACCTAGGTGAGAAGAAGTGTTTATATTGATTTTTGAATACCTAATCATACTTGGAAACACAAGTTAATTTTGCGCACAAATTGTCTTGCAAAAATTGAGCCAAAAAAGTAACCAAGTTGGACCAGGAAAAGCAGTCTCCCTTGACTTTTGTAAAAGGATTGTTGGTAGATCAACAAAACTCCACGAATGTTTTGACTCCTTCAAAGTGTGATCGTCTTTGAAATCTGATTTCGATGTAGAAAGATAAAAATTTGCTTTCTCTGAACGATATCGTTTAATTCTTCAACAACTCGACCTCCGATCAGAATAAAAACAACACCCTAAGTCACTCGTGTGTATAATGTGTATGCTCTCAAAGAAAGATAAAAACTCAGAAAATTCTCACTAATTTTAGCTCTCAAAGTATGCTAAAAATTGTAGGCAAAAGTTGTAAAAAAAAACCTAGGTGAGAATAAGTGTTTATATTGATTTTTGAATACCTAATCATACTTGGAAACACAAGTTAATTTCACGCACAAATTGTCTTGCAAAAATCAAGCAAAAAAAGTAACCAAGTTGGAACAGGAAAGCAGTTACTAATCTTGTATCAACAGAGCGCAACTGATTCTGCTTAAACGCGACCGGTTCCGCTTAGCTAGTGAGTTATAGTTTTAAAACAAATTTGAAAACTCAATTGCATAATCGGTTGTGTTTGAGTGTGACCAGTTCCGCACAGGTAGTTCACTTTTGGAAAACAAACACCTGAAAAAACAAAGTGCATATGCCCTCAAACTCACAAGTGTCCTTACACACTATTACTTTTCTAATGTGTCGTTCTAATCAAACCGAAGTGTATCAAAGTGTAGACACTATCCGTATCTTTGATTCCGCATCTGATCTCAAGTATTGAAAATCAACCTGAAAATTATAACTTGATTGGACTTGTTTTGATACCAAAATTTGCCAATATACAATATTATATCTCACACAACTCCCTCACGAGGATGCCTTTCACGGATTGCATGTCTCTTAACTCATACCTCTTAATAATACCCTAGGTAACTAGAGTCAATCACACAATTCGACAAATATTACAATTTTTTACACCCAATACTTGCTTTATAAGAAATTCCTTAAACACCAAGACTTGTCTTACCAAAAAAAAAAAACATATAAAATAAATCTAAAATAAAAATAGAATTTGAGACACAAACCCTAACATAAAAGGCTAAAAACCCATAGTATCCTATTAAAAAAAATTATTATATTTTTATTTTGAGTTAATTTCACTTACACCCCCTCAAGTTTTGACAAA